AGGTCGGAGCAGGTAAGTAGGTGTGTATTCGTACGAATAGAATGGTAGTAGGTAAGGTAGGGCGAAGAGAGAGAGGAAGAGGGCGCTCGCAGTGAAGAAGCAGGTCTGGTGGTGGTGGTGGATGTGAGTGAGACTGTGAGAGTGACTGGAGACGAGGTGCCTGGCACCATGAGCGTGAGTACGTGGGTGGTGGTGGGAGACCAGACAGAGAGAAGAGAGGATGGGCTTGGATGGGGCCTGCAGGGCGGCGAGATGCGCAGGTGGAGAGGGGAGGGCGTGCGACGATGAGTGGACGACAGCGCGGATTGGTGAGAGATGATTGGACGAGAGCCGGTGAAGGAGGGGGTGTGGTGCTAATCTGGAAGTGGGGGGTGGGAGGTAGCTGTGGGAAAGAGCAGGGCAGCGCAGCAGGAGCAACAAGAGGCAAGCCGCAACAGCCAGGTACCGGTGAGCTTAGGAAGGTGCACGAGGTACCTTGCCTCACTTCACGTGCAAGGGTTCGTCACCACCTCAGGTACCTGAAGTTGGCGAGGGAGAGACGGGAGTTTCTGCTGGACGTAATTCTGTTGTTCTCTTCCCACTTTTCAATTGATAAAAGTAGGCCAGATGTTGATTCCGTATAAGTCTCTATCCGTATCTGTGCTTTGAATACTTGAACAAGGCTGCGGCCGTTCGTCCCGGCAAGAGAGAGAATGGTCTTGGTCATGAGGGCCGGGCATTCGGTGTAAGTTGAACTTGAGGTGAGGGCCGGGTGGGCAGCGAGCCCGTACCCTTGGGCAGTAAGGTAGGAAAGGTACCTTGGGACGAAAAGGTACACACTTCACACTTGGCACCAGGGCAAGCGCTGCACAGCAATACCGGCATGCAAAAGACAGGGCAGCCGCCGCAGCCCATCCTTTTTTTTGCGGTCCATCACGACCTGCCAACCAGTGCGCGCCTGCTCGCCAACACCGACTGCATTGGCATCAGAATATGGACTGGACTGTGAGGTGCAATGGAGACTGGCATTGGAAGACTGGGGAGGGGGGATAAACAAGGACGAGGAAAGACGGGCAAGGTACGGAGTACCTTTCTACATAGTATGTACTGCGTAGGTATCCATCCGTACAGAGGTAGGGGGAAGGAAGGAAGGAAGGGAAGGGAAGGGAAGCCAGGCGGGCTAAAGTGGGCACCTGGCGAAAATGGGGGACCCTCTTCCTTCCTTTCCTTTTCTTTCCTTTGCGCAGTTGGTGATTTTTTATTTCATTATTATACCTATCCAATACTTTATTTCATTTCTCATGTGGTTCCTGGCTTCCCGCCCTCGGGCCTTAGGAAAGACTACCTTAAGGTAGTCTGTACCTCATCTACCTCACATATTCGCAGAATCTAATACTCTTTTGCACTCTGGCACTCTGAGAGGGGAAAACCAGACCAGACAGGCAGGGCAGGGACTGGGACGTGGATTGTGAGAGGGGAGGGGGGCTGATGTGGTATTAGTGACAGGGGGGTGCGGTCAAGATACCTTGGACACACGACGCACATTCTCCGTCTGCCTCCATCTCTCACTCCCCGTTGCCCATACTGTGTAATGCCACCAGCAAGCAGCCCTCTCTGCCACTCTATCCGTACCATTTCTTACTCATTCTCCGAGTTCCTATTGCACATCGCCTGAACCTGGTTTGAAGTCCTATATCCTCGCAGCGACATCTCCAGTGGTTGAGACTGATGCGAAAAAAAAAGAGACCCAGCATTTGTCAACATGTATCAGTCTATCAGCGCAGCGGTGTAGGAAGCGGTCAACAATGGTCCGCGATACTCTTGACTGTATGTGTATCATGGGTGCTAACACGACACAACCTGGTAGCCAACTCTAGACTCTGTGTGTACTTCGTACCTCGAGCCCAGGCCTTCCGGGTAAGCCTTTGACATCCAGCCAGAACCGATATCTACCATGTACACCTAAACACCTTAGGCGTATGTGGTACGGAGACATACCTTGACGCCTATCCAAGGCGCATCAGAATAACGCTCCGGGAACGAACGAGGTTGACGAACGACATGGTGCGAGTGTGGTGGTGTCCTCGCCTCATCTGCTTCATCTAACCTTTGGAGAGCTTTTTTCACTCCATGCCAACCGACGACGGTACAAAGTACAGACAGACCGAAGGGGTCAGTGCCGGGGGCCAGGGTCAGAGCCAACCTCGATACCGGACCCCGTATGTCTGATGTACCCTGCCTTGGCCTTGCCTTGGCCGTCTTCTTCTTCTGTCTGCCCCCCTCCGAGGCCATTCCAAAAGGTTTCCAGCTTCGGGGGCGGTCATGATTACTCACGAATATACGGATAGAGTACCGAGGACGGAGTACTGCTGTTCATCTCCCTCCAGATGCTCAGCCTGGATGAGCCACGTACCGGATACCCACCATCAATTCACCAGACTGTTATGCCACATTGCGATGCGACGATCACCATGAGCTCTCTCCAGCAGATCGTGGAGGAGCAAATCCCATGGCCATGGCCATCTCTCAAAAACCCCCCAGTCACGCGTCTCGCTCGCCAGTGATTTACCTACATCACCCGGTGAGCAGGGCAAGGCAAGCCGGTAAGGACCGGCACGGCTACGCCACCGTCCACGGCACCTCGTCTGTTCCCAATTACCAGGGACCTGCCCCGGGCAATCCGCGATGCGAGAGGCAAAGGAATGTAGAGGAATTTCGACGTCCCCAATTCTTCATCTCGGTCTTCGTACAAAGAATCAGTTAGTAGCTGGGCCATTCCTAGTTGCCTAGTACCAACAGACCCTTTCCACATTCCATCTCATTTCTGCGCCGGGTTCTCTGAGGTGGTCGTCGACTTTCTGCAGCTTCCAATGGTTACGCCGCGCATTCTTGAAGCCTGGCAGAATCAACACTCGGTCCGTCGATACAATCCAATGTCTCTCCCGAGTCCAGCCATGGCAAGACATTGGCCCATTGGCGAGTTCCTCCCACCCTAACAAAGTGCGAACGGATACATAGGCAGCCTGCCCCGGAATAGTGTTGGAATAGATGCAGGCCAACCGTCAACCTTTTTCCTAGACCGAGCCTCGTTTGTCTTTGCCTCATTTCTTCTTATCCCCTTCCCTCTCGTCTTGCTTCCCAGGCGGGCAACTAAGTTTTCATTCCTATTCCTTTTTCTGCTTCCGATTACCAGTTGAACCATTCTGGCGTCACACTCTTGTCATTCCTATTCGCCCGTCGTCTTGTCTCCCACAGATCCTCACGACCCAGCAACATGGTCCTCAAGTCCGAGTCCTTCCCGCCCACGCATTTCGGCGCTTCGTTGCTTTATTCTTCTTGTCCCCGTCACACTGGTGTCCCTGCTCCTGTCAGGTACACCTGATGGGAGACAAAGCCGAGGTGCCTACTGAGAAGAAGGAGCTGCAAATACAACAACGTAGCAGGGGATATTTGCCCTTGCATTGATGCTTTGCATATCCGTACTGTACAGACTACAGACTACGCAGTACAGACCAGAGGTCATTGGCGAGGAAGAATCTTGACCGCAAGCCGGTACTTTGCGCACTAGAGAACCTCACATGGCGTCTGTAGCAGGGGGAAAGCCATGCAAAAATTGCTTCGCGGTGTGTGTAGCGTCTCATTGTGGTCAGGAAGGGCACGCCCACCTAGCAAAGACGGAACGGGACCCTCTCAAAGAACCGGAACGCAAACCACACAGACTGAGAGAGGAAAGAGAGAGAGACAGAGAGGGAGACAGAGAGAAAAGGCTCGAAAAAAAAAGCTCGAGGCTCACGGCTCGTGGCTCAAGTTGCTGCTTTTCCCCCCCAACACGCTGCACAAAGTACTCCAGGGTGATCCTTGTCTAGTTCGATTGCACACATGGGCGCTAGACCTGAAATGATCAAGCCGTGACGGCCTGCTTCTCACAAGGTGGGAGGAGGTACCTGAGCTTGTGCCAAGTGACCGCGGTGGTATGGAGACGTGACCTGGCGGTGTATCTGCTGGCAATCTGGTACTTGTTTTTTTTTTTTCAAAAGTGTCATCTGGCTTCTATCAGAGGCGACAAAAAAAAAGGCAGTGTTGCGAGTTGGAGATGCGTTGAACGTTGGAACTTTCAACGGGGATGCCCAAGACGACGGGTAAGCCGCAAGACCAGGACCAGGACCAGGACCAAGGAATGGACGTTGGTATTAGGCTCATCCACATCGATCCATCTCAATATGAGGAAAGCGTTGCAGCGAAACGGGACGAAGTACATGCGTGCCGGGAGGAGAAAATAACAAGGGCGCGGAGGCACGGATGCACGGGGCCACGAGCACCCTGCGAGTCCCAGATTTCAGTCAAGCTACGTAGTATGTATCCTTAGTGCCCACCCACCACTGCCACATTGTCCACCTCTGCAGACTGCCGTCTGGCATCGAGAATATACCACAGTACGAATCATTGTATTCGTACAGAGACGCAACAGAGACATCCCAATTGACCAGTTCGTGACTGACACAGTGAAGTAGGTAGATTGGCGCCATCCGGGTTTGCGACGCCGCGTCTCCAGCCTCAACGGGAACCCGTCAGCCTAACATGTTATTCTCAAGTGTACGGACGATGCTCCGTCCAGCCATCGCCAACCAACCCCGGACGACACGTCTCCCGCGGCTCCGAACCGGGGTCCAGATGGGCTTTGTTCGGGGCCACAGCATCGAGGCCTGGGTATCACGGTCCCAATCTGGTCTCGTAAGTTCACTGTTTACCTGCAGCAGGTGTTGAGAAATGTGCCGGTGGGCAGGGCATGATCAGACACCAGGATGTTTGCATGTCGCAGACTCGCAGTTGGCCCTATTGCCCTACACTACGGATCGTTCACCGAGTAAGTTGATCTCGGGGTGTAGCAAAGATCATCCGCCTTATCATGTCTCGAGTCACACTCACACACTACTCACTGCAACAAGGCCAGCCAGATGCATACCCTCTCCATCTTTCTCTCTCTCTCTCTCATTCATATTTTGTGACTAAACTTGCCCACCATGATCGATCGGGGATCCGGCCGGGCCCTGGGAGACCATCATGGTCCATGTCAGGTTTCCTCGACGACGGTCCGCACTCCGTACCCTTCATTCCTCTTCCATTCGCGGGCACTCTGGGGTTGGCGCAGGCCGTGCACCTTACTCACCACATACTGCATCTGAGAGACAGTATGTTGACTGACTTCATGGAGGGAGGACAAAATGCCAAATGCGTGAGGGCACAGGCTGGCGGTATCACAGGGTGAGTACTTTAGGATTACAGTCTGTCCACGTCCCACGACAAAACAAGACGT